CATTATTAATTAGTTTAATCCACCGCATATTTTTTTAAGATAGAGCATATATATATATATATGCTCTATCTTAAAAAAATATCTATAAAAAAAGTTTTTCGCGATTTGAATATAAAATTTCTACAGGAAATTATGTTCTTATAAAAATGACAAATACATTACTTGTCTGATCAGATATAAATACGCAAACATGATTATCATACATGTAATTAATATGTCAAATTTTTCTATAATATTTAATAAATGTACCTTTATACATAGTTCATATAATCTAGTTTTTATCATATAAAAAAGAGCAAGAAAGAACAGTAAATTGCATGAAATATATTAACGCATATTAAATATTAATATTCTCGAGTATACGAAAGTAATATATTTACCCAGAGTTATATATGCACCTAGAGAAAAGATTGCTCCGATTTAAAGAAATTTTCTTTGCTATACGGTTAACAAAAATTTCGTTGATTTGTGAAAAAATTTCTTTGATTTAAACATTATTTTTTATAATCAAATAAAAATTTATTTGATTTAAAGAAATTATGTTCAAATCCAAGAAATGACATTCAAATCATTTCTTTGGATTTGAACATAATTTCACCGTATAGCAAAGAAAATTTCTTTAAATCGAATCAACCTTTTCTCTAGATGTGTATAAATGAAAATATTGATGAAGGCTATTGTCGATAATGTACAGAAGTTACTATCGATGAATGTTTAGATTGATAACATACATACTATTGATAAAACTCAATCAGTTAAGTTTAGTATTGCTGAAATAGTGCTGCTGGAAATACTCTCGGCAGTGACTCTATCTTCGAACTTATGATTTTGGATCAATGGAAAAAAATGATTTTATTCAGTTGTTGAATGAATACATTAGTAAGCAAAGCTGCGTATGTTTTTTGCATATATTTGTGTAATTAACTTTTCTCTCATTGCTATTTTCTTATTGATTTATCACAAAAATTATCAATATATATGTGCTAAAGAATAATGTATAATTTAATTGTCAAATCGCATATGATTGTATAATATTGTAATTTTATGTATAAAATATTATAGATAATCCTACAAAGTATACGCGAAAAAAAAAACAATCATAGTCGAATTAACAAGATATGTTTAATTAAGTAAATTTTGGTAGAAGTGAACTGAAATTCCTTGTTATTAAAATCAAATATTTTAGTATGCAACCAGAAAATTTAGGTATGATTTAGGTTAGACTTTGGTGTGTATATTTCAACCAAAAGTGTTGTTATTTTCATTAGAATGCACGCGGCCAATATGTGTGGTTACAGTAATCAAAATATTTTACAGTAGCCAAAAAATTATGAATCCTTTACATTTCCCCAAATAATACTCTGGTTATCATATACGTATTTCAGATTAATTCAATCATTTTTTTAGTATACTGAGAAGGGGAAAAAAGTCTGATCGGAATTATATTTTTATAAAGCGCAATGAGTTCATTTTAACATCCGGTTCGTCTCCCACCTGCTCGAGGTTAGCTGTTAAATCGCCGGTTAATTGCGCGCGGCCGTTCGCAAGAACGAGCCATGTTTCGCCGATGGTGCGTGGCCGGGCTCCAAGTGTCGCGTTAATTACTGAACGTTAGGCAAGCTCCTCCCTCCCGACGTATAGGTAGATGGATGGATTACTTAACACTTGTCACGCCTCGCTAATTAACATTCAGTCATCTCCCTCTCGGAAGTACTTCCCCTGTCCCTCCGCCGCAACGATGACGACGCGACAGGTGGAAAGTCGTTTAATATTTATCGACCATCGCTCCCGACCCCGTTGGCACCTTTGGGGCCCGATACACGCACCCGGCCACGGCCCCGGCCCCGGTCACAGCTCAATCAGAATTCGTGATGGCGCGCGACGCTTCATGGAAAATATTAGAATACGACGTCGTGATCGCCGATTAACGATGGATAAATGGACGGGTGCGGAGTATTTTTTTTTTCTTTCTTTTCTCATTCGCGACTGTCAATGATGCAGGGTCTCGGCAGGTTCTACGGAATTCCAGATGCAGGACGTTTCGTCCCATTGAATGTAATCTGCGCATTCGATCGCGACCGGGTGTCGTCGGAGATGTGCACATTGTTGAATGCAGGCGTGCGTATATATGATAACTAATGAAACTTAACACGTTCAATGCCGTGGCATTGCTTAGCTGACTCTAATATTGACGATGAGATTCTTGGAAGACCGTCGCGAGAGATGTTTTATTGGTTGGAATTTTTGTTGGCTGCTTATCTGGATGAGAAACGCGCATGGTCGATGCAGATGAGGCAAATCTAGTGCATCTTATTTTAGCAAATAGGCGTGTGCGTGTAAATGCAATATTGTCGTACCCATCAAGAACGTCTATTAGTATAAAGATAATAACAGTAAATTATTTCCAAGTTCTCCATCTACTAGATCGCAAGTTATCTTAATTCCACTGCTGACTTAATTCAGTGCAATTTTGCTTGTAATTAAAGTTACGAGAAAAATGTTTCAATCAAGTAAGTAAGGAAAAGATAAATGTGGTCGAGGCTCTTAGTGTTTAATAATGTTTTTATATGTAAATTATAATAAATACATTTTTTAAGGTTTAGACTTTTCTGGTTTTTTATTTTCTGATTAACTTGTGGTTAAATTTAACCTGATAATTTAAAAATTGTTTGTAGTGAGTAGCTTTTAAAGTTACCACAAAGTCGGTAGTTTTGTGATTAATCATAACTAGAGAAACACAATTTTTAAAGTATTATCAAGTTAAGTGAGGTTAAAATTAAACCACAAGTTAATCAGAAAATAGGAAAACCACGCCTCAGTTATGTAAACTGCGCACTGCTTACTGCCGGACTTGAAACGCAATCATAAACTGAAACTAAAATAATATCACAATTAAATTGTGATTGAAAAATGTCTCAAATATATACCATCTTTTTTTACGTAATAAAATGGATGTAACATTGTAACGATTTCCATGTTACAAGATGTTGTGCGAAAATTGTGCATATAGAGAAATCGCATTTCCGTAAAATAATGATAGTTTGGTCACACGTTACTAAATTTGCTTGTAGAGTTGAGAGGTTAATTAACAAACTTAAGCAACATTTGATATGGTCAATGTTTGAATGGTTGACAGCCTGGGAAGACCGTGTCCCATTGGCGCTAATGTTGAGGCTAATGACTGTAGAAGTCGATGTCATAATTGAGAGGAAAAAAGATAATGCTGGTGTATCCTATATGAAGAACGACATTAGAAGAACGGTTATGACATAATTACGCAAATACGTCGTCTCATTTCACGCGTCATTCATTTACTTTTATCCTTTACTTCGGCCGAAAATTAATGGTTACACGTTTATGATTTTATAATCAAATATATTTAAAATATAATGACAATAGAATTGTGGCACACCTGCTAAGTTAGAGAAAATAAAAAACTCAGTTTTCATAATTCTTTTTTCAATTCCTTTCCTATAATTCCACTGTATAAACAAATTTGTCCGTCTAGTTATCTAGTTAGATGAAGTCTATCATTTACTCATAATGATAACTAGGCAGAAAAACTTGTTTATGTGGAATTAGGAAAGGAGTTATCTGGATCCCCATTGAGTTTACAAAATAATTATGAAAACCGGATTCCACAGAGTGGGAGATTTCAATGATCCCGACCGATCACGGTACGTACGCCACTGCGACGCGATATCTAATGAGGCTATTAACACGCTCCGCGCCGTCGAGGAAACTTGGACGAGCGTGCGTTTATGACAGCCGATGACCTACCTAGCGGCTTCCATTAGAGCCGCGTACGAGCGCCTTGAGTGAGACATTTACCGGCTCCCCCCGAGCCGATCCCTCGGCTTTAGCAGGTGCCCGGCCGCCGAGGTACCATTTAAAACTTCCTCGCTTTTACGCACTGTAGGCTGTACGCGCGACGCGTGCCTCCGGGCCCCGATCCGATCCGATCCCATCCCGGGCTCTCAAGACGTACGCGACGACGCTATTAGCCAGCTTGGCGCATTAGCGGGCAATGCGCGTGAGGATTGCCGACGTTACGTAAGTTCCCCCATTACAGTGCGAATTACAAGCGACTTCTCGGCGGCCGGTTAGAAATCACTTACGGCGATCGGTTCACGGTGGTACTCGCGGATTGGGGATAAATTATCGCGGGAATGTTCTCTCTTAACGTATGCAAATTATGAGCGAGGAGGAAAAAACGGATAGCCGGTTCGCTTGAATAGATCTGTCGTCGCGATTGCGTCGAGATTGCGTCGATTATATCGGGTATGAATCACGATCGCATTGCGCACACAATCGTCATGGATGAACGAGTGTGTCGATGTGCGTAGCGCTAACCTGTGTCATTGAGCGGATGAGAATTAAAAATCAACTGCAAAATTATCCGCGGAGGCTTCCTCTATGCGACGTGACGCGTGTAATTTAATACACATTGTTTCCTTCGATGTGAATTCACTCTCGGCTCTCGAGGCTCCCGATATGTACGTGTATTTAGCCTTGTTGACTGGACAATCCTTGCGAAATGAGATAGAGGTAGAGTTATTACTCTACCGACAGTAATAGATAATTATTCGAAATCATGACAATTGGAAACCACGATGATAGTTCCGCGTGTATCAACGCACCGTATAATAGATCATCGGGTTTACATCTGTCATGAATGTTACTACCGTAAGATGGAACAAAGCTACTATGAATAATTTGTTTTTCTCAGACAATAAGTAATTCCAGAATGTTATTTTTACAAGTTTTTTTTTTTTACATCAGTTTGATTTTATCCTGTCTTACATTATATCATTTATCAAACGTAATTAATAATCGCGATACACTCTCTATGGAAATACAAATTATGCGATGTTCTATCTTGATCGCAGCGGGTGCCTGAGAGACCCAAAAGGCCGGCTAATACCAAATACGAATAATTAATCGCCCCACTTACGGTTGCGGAGCTATGGCTAATCGAATGCGAATGCTTTCTGTTGCAGATTCGTGCGAACCCGTTGCGGAGCGACCTTACGGTGAGTGACTCACGATCTCAATTTCCCAGAGATTACAAGACCGTACTTATGCCACGGTAAAAATCGTCGCGGAACCTTCTATTCAGTATCTTCCGTGAAAAAAATATCCTCCCTATTACGCAGTCTGTGCGCTTCGAAACGCGTTGACTCGACTCGCGCAATTCGCTTCCATTCAGTGCCTCATTCGCCGTTGATTTCATACAGCATTGCGAAACGCGATGTAACGCCGCTGGGTGCCTGTTTTCTCTCTCTCTCTCTCTCTCTCTCTTTCTTTTTACAGCGTACACTGGCCCGATCGTGTGCCTATGCAAACGCGTAAATTAGATCGAATTCTCGGAATAATTACTTCAAGCGGAAAGTGTTGGCTAGTTTTATATCATAGATACACCAAACCAAAGCAAAAAGCGATCCGACTTTCGATCATAACAAGATATACTTATATTTTCATAGAAATTGTGAGAATTTGCTTGACCAATTTTTCACACATTTACATATATAATGATGTAATCAGTTTTTTTAAATAATAATCAGCTAGTTTTTATAGCCATGTTCCGATGCACCAGTAGTGAAAATCTATAGTATATGTAACGCGAACTATAGATTTTCAGTAATAGCAGTGTATACCGGAACACGGCTTGTATAACGTTATTTGTTAGCAGATTAAAAAGCCAATTTTTAATATATTTTTTGTATCTCTTCGCGAACTTAATTCTCGACTCTACAAGACTGACGTTCTTGTCTCTTTTGGTATCTTCTTGCGTCGACACTTTCGTATTCGAGTTCAATGACGGCGAATCCGACAAGCGAATCCAACGACGGTCGGAAAGACGTTTCGAAAAGCCGTTCATCTCTGGGCGTGATATCAAGTCGGGGGCTGTTAGGAGAGCATAAAAAGCCGCGTTGCATCCGGTCGCGTCTCCTCTATGCCAGAAGTCGTAAAATTCAGCGTTATGCGATTCGGGGCCTGTGTTTTGTCCCCCTTTCGAGATTATGATTATCCCAGCAGTGGCGGCAGCCACCGTGGCTAATATCACGCAATAAGCACGCCGGAGCCCAAGAAAGCAACAGTCTATCCTTCTCTCTTCCTCTTTCACCTTCTCTTGCTCTCTTTCCCGCTCTGTCTCTGCCTTTGGCTTCGTCCGTCTTCGTCTCTTAACCTTCTCTTCTTCTGTTTTCTTCCTCCGGTATATAATATGTGCCACCAAACCTGATGGTGTAAACGGTCATCCAGTGGAAACACGTGGATGGTCCAGGAGGCCATCAAACGAACCGCGTAGCCTTGCGAGAGCATTCTAACTTTCCTGAAGCGACTCCATCTTCACGGTCTATCGTACGTTTGAGAACACCGAGTCGCGGTAGTTGACTAGGTGTTGCGTTGCTAATGGTGGCGGAATGCCCTGAGGACTATTGGGTCGTTCATATCTTAGTAGGCATTGAATATTCCTTGATATAACAAAACCACTTCTTCTCTTCTATTTATTACAACTTTTCCTTTAACTTCTCTTTAAGAAATCTTATCTTTATATGAAATCAAGAATTATCACAGCAAAATATTTCTATACTTGAGCGAACGTTGAAGAATTCTTGTTTCGGCGGGTAGTCGAGGTATTTGAGATTTTCGGGGGTTGTCGAATCAACAGGTTTCGGTTATGAGAGTGTAAAGCGTTTTGAATCTGACCCCTCGAGGGGCATGAATCCTCGGGCGCGAATCTCGATGTAGGAGAGAAAAAAAAGGGCGAATCTTGCCCGTGGGGGGTCGTGTCAGGCGCGGTTGCTCTCCCGATCGGTGAAATTGCGCGCGTGTGTTACGCGCGCGTATGTATTAAACGGGGGTAGTCCGCCGACCCCACGCTACGGGGGTGGCTGACAGGCCGATTAGGGCAAGATGGGAGAGAAGCCGAGGGCCCCCACGGAAAACTTAAAATAACATCGCTCGATCATCCGGGTGTCTTCGCAGACAGCCGACGACGCCGTGCTCCGACATTCAAACGTTTACCATCCCGTCGCCTTCCGTTGCTTCCTGCTTTACCCTAATCTTCGCCTGTGAGTGTTCTATGTCGCGAACCAACCTGTCCTCGTTTAAATCAAGCTATATATTTACATGTTTACAACACATGTACAATAATCACGGATCTTTCATTAAAAGGTTGTATTACGTCAAAGGAAGTTAGTCATCTAGAATTAGTATTTTAAAGTCTGTATAAATTACTTATAAATTCATAATCTCTATCATTTATCTTGCAATTTATTTATGGAACATAAGAGCAAAACTAAAATATTTTGAACATTTTATAATTAAAATATTCTTATTTCTTTTTTACAAATGTACAATTTATTTATATTGGTTGTAATTCTTTTATTCGAATATGTATACAGTCCCTGACCACCTTATCTTTTTGCACTCTTTTCTATTTGGTTAAATTTGTTGTCTTAGAAACCTTCACTCCCTTTTAGCTATTTCCCGCTGAGAAGTATCACCAGCATCTAATAATCCCTTCACCATACCTATTTTTATAGGCGAAATATCGCTTTTCTTACCCATTCTTTAAAAATAAAACAAATCAAACATGCATGCCCAAAGTAGATACAAAACATTAAAAAACATGCAAAATAAATATAAATTGTTGTTAGACATGTTAATAAAGCATAAATAAATAAGTTAAACATAAGTTATTATTTAACTTATCGTTATATTTTATTAATGTTAACAATTTACGTCACGAGACAAAGTGTTCTAGATAGAGATTATATGTAACTTCGGCGTGGTTAAACAGTTGACACATGTCAAAATGGTGATCTATGTTACAGTTGCATGCACAGTAATTTAAAAAATAGTATTGCCACGTGAAATACAAATCTTTCTACCACTTTTTATAAAAATTTGCGAACTTATAAAAATATCGTAAAATTCAACAGTAGTCATAATAATGTGGCCAAGGACTGTAGGTATACATGTGTGATAGATCTTTGATATTTGAGAGAAAAAAATTTTTAATGAAACTTAGACATAGCATAAGAGAAAGATATCGTCGCAAGATTTTTAAGTTGCTTTACCAGGGAAATTTACGAAACAGTCAGAGGTTGAGCACCTCTTCGATGCTCATTACAGAGCGTCCCGCCCCCGGCGGCGGATAATCAGGGTGTATGGGGGAGTGAGGGGGGCGGGGGCGGTGGGTGACCTCGCCCGGGGCCTTTACTCTCCTCTTCTTCGCCCTGCCACTTCCACGTCTCTTTACTCTGTTCTTCCTACCTGACGGAATATGCCTTTCTCTCTCCTTCCTCCTCTCTATTCTCTTATCTCTTTTCCTCTCGGCGGTATCCAAGTCCTTTCCTCTCGACGCTTTCGTCTACCAACTACCTGCGAAGGTGACGGAGCAGCAGCTCAGCTTTACGAATTGCGATCTCGCCGGTACTTTGCATTCGGTGTATATTGCTATCATCCTCGTCGCTTTACCCTCTGTTGTTCCTTTTCAAAATTAAGTTGTCTAAATTTTATCTAAATGTATTTCATAGCAATGTTTGAATTATTCTATCTAATACCTTGCATAAATAACAAACAGAAATATTTATATTATTTTTTAAAAAATAATATGTAAATTTCAATCATTTTTTGATAGAATATTAGATAATCTGTAGCCTAAAAACTTTGATACTCATTTATTTTTATATTATGAATATTAAAATTTATATATATTTTTTATTATGAAATATGATTTTATAAATATGATACTTATATTAGAATATCCACTAGATATTGAGTACTTCGATATTCCTGAGATAAGATTAATCAATAGCGCGAGAGAGAAAGAGAGCCACCGGCTATTTGGCTGCGAATAATAATGATTATGGGCAGGTACTCTCCGCGAACAGGAAATGGCGTTGGTGAACGTCGGTGGAGGTAGAAGGTAAAGTTTTTTGATTCGTCGTTTCGCCCAGGACGACAGCAAGCCGTGTGGTTATCTTCCTTTTTTGTGGTTCATTATCTATGCAGAGACTAGTGAAGAGAGCGCGGACAGATGGGACAGAAGAGAAGGAAGGAGAAAGGTCTGGGGTCAGGATTCACAAAGAATTGAGAGTTTCGGGACACGCCGCTGAATAATTGGAATCCAAACAGGGGACTCCACTCGGTGCTCCATGCGGATTCTCAACCTGTGGATCTACTGTTATTCTTAGAAAGAATTTGTGTCCACGTAAGGATTGACGTTACGGCACACGTGATAGTTTCGATGCATCGAAAAACTTGTATCGTATGAAAGAGTCTCGTAATCTGAACTCGATCTAACTTGCAAAGAGCACACGAGAACGGATCCTGTACACAGAGGGAAATATTACGGTTCTCGCAAATGCGATCAAAGAAATTTCTTCCGCGAACACGGTAATTCCACGCACAGAGAGTACTGGTAGAAGTTGCTCTCGTCTCCGCTCGAGCTTCTCAAAAACTGTATGCACGCTTCTCGAGCGCGTTTCCAAGAAATTTTATATAACCAACCGTCGTTGCCTATTCACAGGTACTCGTTCCCTCAGGTTGTATCCAGTACGCTCTTTTCGCCGTTACGTATTGGAATGTGACGGTACTACGATGATGCTCAATCGCCCGTTTATCCCGTTACGAGATTTTTTCTTTCCCTCGCGAACACATCAGCCACCGACCTCTGTCTCAAACTCGTTCGATGGGTGTGCAAGAAAATGTTGATGCCACTCGTCTTCGAGACCCCTCACGCATCCTTTTTCTCTAAAATGGTCAAGAAGGCTCAACGGACCGGGGAGGTAACATGCGGTCGAGATTCTGCCCCGTTTAGGGATTGACGAGATTCACCGTAAATTACTGATCTCGATGACTGGCGAAAGATGGTTTTACACATTAACTCCCTTTTTTTAAGGAAATGGAGAATCGATTATGTTCCTAATATTTTTAAAATAATTATTCATCTTTGTATCATTAACTCTCCGTCTGCAGTTATATTTTTACTTCCTCCAGCCGAAGTTTTCTTCACTGTTCT